TAGCTTAGGGCAGTGCTATAGCTCTTTATTAGGCAATTATTTTCTGTCATTTTGAAGACTTTATCTCTTCCAACAACATAAAGATTCTACCTGAACTCTTTGCAACCATGTTCCTTTCACCCCTGTAATAGCAGCATGCACCTACTCTGTAATTCCTCTACATTCTTATCAAGTGATGGACTTTTTGTGTTATCACAGCAACCTGTCAATACCTGCATAGCAAAACCGATAATAAAGCTAACATTTTTAGTATAGTAACGTGTTTTACCTCACTACTCTGTAGGCTAGATTCCGATAACCTTATTTATAATGAACAGTATCTTTTTCGGAGTGGTAGATTGCCATAGAGGATAAAGTGCTATCAATACTTGTCCCTTAAGTTTTGAATTAAAGGGTCACACTTTATCAGTCAGTGAAATACCAGCAGCTTTGGGATGAGATGTGACAACAGTTTAACAGTACATACCACCTGCTACCTAACAGTTTAAAACAGAAAAAGAAGAACATTGTGGCCACTTGAAGAGGCAGAGGAAATTAAACTGCAAGCTGACTTGGATGGCTCTGGTCTCTCTGGACACACCAGCAGTTACAGTGGTGTTACAGCCCCCATCTGGGGGTTGGATAGGTTAATTCAGCCCCAGGTCTTGGCCTCTTTCAGCAGGGGTAATTGATTAGGTGAACCTTCAGTTACTGGAAGGGAGCAGTTCCCCTTCCCTTCTTGCAGGAGCAGCACTTTTGTTTTGTCTTCCCTCAGGTTTTTCCTTTTGTTCCCATTTAGAGGGCCAATGTATTTCTCTTTTCCTTTCCCTCTAGAGGAAAAGGACAAGATTCCTATCTAGATGATCCCTTTGCATGCAAGCAAAAGGTATTTTTATTATTCATTATTATCCTTTTACTGATGTTATATTTTTATATCTCCTCTTCTTTATTTTTTTATTCCCTCTTTTCTCTACTCACAGACTTTCCAGTGAAATATGGTTTCATATTGGTTCATTATTAGAGTAGAAAAAGGTTACAAAATAAGTGAAATGAGGTCACAGCTGTACACATCTCTGGTTTTTACCTGCAAGTAAAATCTTTGATTCCCATAAAATACTTGCATATTTTATCTTTCTATGATTTATCAGAACTATTGAATGAGATTGTTTTGTTAAGGAAAAGCAAACAGACCACTACATCCTTCCAATGTTTCTAACAGAGACTTTATTGTGAATTTTGCGGTGGAAAACATCACAGTTACTGGGATTTTGATTATGACTAGGAAATATATCCTCTTTGGCATAACTAGCCACTGAAGGTGCTGTCTGCTAAGCTGCATCCTGAGTGCTGCATACTGCCTGAAGGATGAAGATTGACAGGGCAAGGGCAAGGAAATATTCTAAGTTAAGTGCATAGATAGAGTCAAAGAGACTGTGAAAGCAAGATGAGGAAAAAGGTTAGTGATGGAGTAGGGCTTGAACAGTGAGGGGTAGAATTGGACTGTGGAGCTGCAAGATGGTTTAGGAGAGATGAAAGGCATCAGAGCAGAGGGAGGAAAGAAAAAGGAAAGAGAAATAATCAAGAAGCTGGGAGACAGAACGGCAAGACTGAAAGAGAACAGGAGAAGTGGGGATGGAAAAAAGGAAGTGAGAGATTAAGGAAAAGTTGAAAAAGAAAATCCTGAAGTACAACTGGCACTGTCAGCCCAACCCCCAAACTGGAACTATAAAGGTTTGTCTTTTGGTTTTTATAAAGTTCTCTTGATTTACATCCTATTTCATGAGCTATTACTGCAGTATCAGGATACTGGCCTGGGAAGGAAATAGATAGGGGAACAGATCTCATAGAATACAAATGAATACAGCAGAGGGAAAGGAAACATGAAGTTAAAATTCACCAAAAAAAAGGGAAAGGGGATAAAATCAAGATAAACGTCCTGAAGACTATTTTCCACTGACTGCACTGGGACAGTGGAAATAAAGAATCCCATTGGGCTAGAAGTTCACTGATGCATTTCAGGACGCTTGTGGGTAGGCTACTTGTGGTAATTAATTCCTGCATACTCCAGTGACAGTAGTAAACCATCACAAGTCTGAGTTCCATTAACATTAGTTGGCAAGGCTTGGCTGGTAGCAATAAAGTATGATTAGAAGTCCTTAATTAGAATCCCTAAAATATTGTGCCTGAATATTCATTGATTATATTATAGTTTGAAATATTTGGTTTTAGGTAGTTTCCTTATCCGAGAGGTAAAATGTATTGACTATTGGAGAAATGCTATTTGCATAAATTATATCAAATATGTAAATCCAGTCAAACTTTTGAATGTAGAAAAAAGAAAACCACCGATATCTGGTTTTGTTATTTGGAAAATGGTATGTTAATGTCAATATGAAAAAGGGGAAGAAAGAGGTAAAAGCACTGTTCTTCCTTGAAGAAATGGTTAGTGTACAATTAATTTTCCCTACTGTTTTTTGTTATACCCTTTCTATGAATTATATTTGTTTACAATTGTTATGCAAAATATTACACTGGTAATAGAACTTTATCCTCCTTCTCCCTTTTTCTTATTCTCCTTTATGACTTGACAAATGCCAATTCCAGATGTATGTTTATCCTACCTCATACAGAGTGTACTTTTGAAGAACATGAATAAAAACTGAAAGTAGCAGTGTATATGTTACAGAAATGTGAGACTTCATTCACAAGTTGTCCCACAGACTGTGTTTTCTAGCAATTTATTATTTCTAATATATATTGTTTAGTATATCCATTATGTTCATAAAAGTAAGTGCCATTTACCTAGTGCATTAATGTAATTGGAGTAGCTGTAATTAGTTCAAATACCTGATGTAGCCTAGGACTGTACTGATCAGGCATTTGCTTAAATACATGACTCAGGGCTATTGAAGACTAAGTACAAAAGTACTAAGTACAAAAGTACAAAAAGATGTACTTAAGTACATCTTTGGACTAAGTACAAAAAGATGTACTTAAGATTAAAGACTGAAATATGTTTTAGGGCTAAATACATTCTTCAGGCAATGTACTAAGAATCTAATATTATTGTTTATATAGCTCTGCTTTGATCCAGGAATTGTTGAGGAAGAAGAGAACCGCCCACCAAGCACACCTTGCACTGCCATCCTGTCACGTAAGAAAAGCAGCCTTTCGTCTTGCATGCAGCAAGCTCCAACTCCGTGACATCCAGAACAAGTGGTGGATCAATCTAGATGAAAAAACTCAATTATGTGCAGATACAGGTGATCACAGAGGATTCTATGAAGCCCTGAAAACAGCATACGGGCCTACTTACCAGGTACAAAGCCCTCTACTCAGCGCTGATGGTCAAACACTTCTGACAGATAAAACCTCCATTCTGAATCGATGGTCTGAACACTTTCAGACTCTCTTCAGTACCAACCGCATAGTCCAAGACTCAGCAATTCAGTCCATCACACAACAACCAGTAAAGTATGAATTGGATACTGCCCCCACTTTAGGAGAAACCCTTAAGGCCATACAGCAGGTGAAAATTGGCAATGCAGCTGGGATTGATGGAATTCCACCTGAAGTCTGGAAACATGGGGGCCAAGCACTCCATGCTAAATTTCACAAGTTTGTGGAGCGCTGTTGGGAACTGGGCGAACTACCATCAGACCTTCGTGATGCAGTCATCATCACTTTGTATAAGAAGAAAGGAATTAAATCAGACTGTTCAAATTACCGTGGTATTACTCTGCTCTCCATTGCTGGCAAAATCCTGGCAACAATACTTTTGAACAGACTAATACCCGCTATAGCAGAAGGAATTCTACCTGAAAGCCAATGTGGTTTTAGAGCCAACAGGAGTACCAAGAGGAGCACCAACTCTATTCACAATCTTTTTCAGCATGATGCTCCAAAGGGCCACGGCAGACCTCGATGATCAGGATGGTATCTACATTCGATACCGTACTGATGGAAGCCTTTTCAACCTAATGCTTAGTATGAAGGCCCATACTAAGACAGTAAACTCTAAGGCCCATACTAAGACATTGTCCAGGAGCTGCTTTATGCTGATGACGCCGCCCTTGTTGCCCACACAGAAGCAGCTCTGCAGTGTTTAACATCCTGCTTTGCAGACACTGCTGAGCTTTTTGGGCTGGAAGTCAGCTTAAAGAAGACAGAAGTTCTCTATCAACCCGCACCCCAGGATGTCTTCCATCATCCCCATATCACCACTGGTGAATCAGTGCTCAAATCAGTCCAGCAGTTTAATTACCTAGGTAGCCTCATCTCCTTGGATGGTAAGATTGACGGAGAGATAGACAACAGGTTAGCAAAGGCATATAGTGCTTTTGGAAGACTCCATAAAAGAGTATGGCGTAATAAACACTTGAAGAAAAGTACAAAGATCAGTGTTTACAGAGCCATAGTGCTGTCTACTCTCTTATATGGCTCCGAATCATGGGTCATCTACCGCCACCACCTGCGACTCCTAGAACGCTTCCATCAACACTGCCTCCGTACAATCCTAAACATCCACTGGTCAGATTATGTGACCAATACATCTGTTCTAGAACAAGCAGCAGCCACAAGTATTGAGGCCATGTTGCTGAGAACACAACTGTGTTGGGTAGGACACGTCTCCAGGATGAAGGACCACCGCCTCCCTAAGATCTTGATTTATGGTGAACTTGCCACCGGCTGCCACAAGAGAGGAGCCCCAAAGAGAAGATACAAGGACTCCCTGAAACAACATCTCAGCCTTGGTCATACTGATCATCATAACTGGTCTACTCTGGCCTCCAATTGGGAGGTCTGGAGACAACCATCTATAACGCTGCTGATGCTTTTGAGAACACATGCAGGATCACTCTTGAGGAGAAAAGACAAGACAGACAAGAAAAGGCAGAAAGAATCATGCCTTGCAGAATATACCATCTAAGGAGTCTTTCTGCTGTGCCTTTTGCAACTGGACGTACCTGTTTCGTATTGGCCTCATTAGCCACCAGCGCACTTGTAACAAATGTGGGTGGAGCCCTTCCCAAATCTTCACGAAGCCTAGCCATGATGATATAGCTCTGCTTTTAGAGACTTGTAATACATGGGGGTTTTGCCACCGTAAATCGGACAACACTGTCAGAAGATCTTGTCCTGATTCTCTACCTGTAAAATCCTAAAAATTCCACTGATCACAGACAGAGTTATGGTCATCTGTAGATACAGTCACGTGATGCAATAATGAACAAATAATATGAATATCATAAAGATTTTGGGACAGAAAACAACTGGTGAGTAACAGTGAGAATGTCCACTCAGTTTGCAGGTTTGTTTGCAGTATAAACTATACCCAAAAAGGCTTTGCTGGATTTGTTTATTTCTGTACTTTTTGACATTTGCACCACTATTATTGTGACAGAAATCTAAATCTCTAGTGACAAGTGTACAAAGGCACACAGATAGCACCTTTAATTGGCAGAATCAGAAAGGGGAAGTTCACAAGACTTGGCTAAAAGAGGATGAATGCATCTGGTGTCACTGAAAATCTCTCTGTACCTGTGCTCATAATCAGCCTGTGTGAAGTCTGTGTACCTCAGTGAGTGCTTTGAAAGCCCGCTGTGTCACTTCAATCACAGCTCCACCAGAAGTGATGTGCCATAAAACCTGTGTCAAATTCTGCCTATTTGAACTACCTGGAGCATCAGCATGGGTAAATAAAATAAGCCATCAAAGTGAGAAGTGCAATTGTGTATTACAACAATTTTCCAGAGAAGGCAGAATACTGAAACAAACCAGCTTGATTTATATGTCAGTTCTTAAGTTCAGCATGTATCTAATACTTAGTCCTGAAAAGTGCTGAGAACCCACAACTGTATTGAATTGGTATTTGCTTCCAGCCTAAAGAAAATTAGAGAAGGCTGTTTCTGAGAGCTGAGGGAGCTGGCACTCAGACTAAGTGATAGGGATTGGCTTGGCAAGTAAATATCATCATCTTCCAGAATTGTTTCTGATCCAATTCTCATAATGACAGCTAAGCTTCCAAATCAAGTCAGAGTCAGCAATACGAACAAGTTGGAACTCTTCCTTTTCACACTCTTAAGTGCTTTTCTACCCTCCTCTGTAGTCCTCTGATGGTCCTTATTTCTTCTTCCCTCTTCTGTGAGACCTTTGTCACCACTCCTCTCCCTCCCCATGACAGGCTACCAGACCCCTGACAAGTCACAAGTTCTCTTTGCTCCACTCCCCCAGTTGCTGGCTAAGGAGTGATGCTTTCCAGCCCCCTGAGGCAGACCAGTGTGAGCCCCCAGTGCTCTTTGCAGAGGGCTCTTTGCATAGTGCTTGAGCATCTCATGTGCTTTGGAACTGGGTTTTAATCTCAAAGCAGCTGGGGAAGCAGCCTGTGAACATGTGCAGCCCTCAGCACTCTCATAATACTTCCAGTGGCAGCAGAAGGTATTCAGGGATTAATTCTGTAGCAAACCTGCTGCTCCTGGCTTCAGCCTGAGGAACTGTGCTTTCCTGGCTTGTGCTACAGGGTCTTCCCTGCCAGTCCTTCCTCCCCAGACACTCTTGGAGCCTGCCTCTCTCTTTTAGATTCTTTTTGTGCCTGCCTCTCTCTTTTAGGTTTGCACTTACTCAGAAGGGCAAAGAGGAATTATCATCCACCGAGTTGCAAAGAAAAGAGAAAACACACCAGTTATTGGCATGTTTTCTCTATTTTAAGCAGTTGAATGTTTTTTGGAGGCTTGGTTTTGATTACTAGAAGTTGACAGGTGCCAACCCAAAGTGATGAGCAGTTCTATCAAGTCTTAAGAAATTCATGGAGTATTTTAGCAGACAGCCAGGCTCTTAGTTTGACTGCTAAGTTTGTATCAAATATTGTCACTTGGAAAGCCCACAATAATAATATTTAGGGAAATATCTCTGTCCTGGATGCAACCATGTTTGGTAGTGATGGAAGTGGGACAGGCAGGGTGGTAAATCTAACGTGAAACAGGCACAATCATGAGGTTAATAGTTGGGCTGTGGCCTTTTAAATCCCATCTTCCAAAAAAAGTTCTGTATGGAGATGACATTTCTTTGTTCTGATGGAAGATTTTATTGGAAATAGTTACTCATTTAAAACTAGGGAGAAGCTTAGTAAAACACCCCTTAAATCATATTTTCTCAAAGAATTGCTTTCCTTGTTTCTTGTGTGAGGAACAGAGTATCACGTGTCTCAGTAAGGCCACCATATGTTCTCCCCTCATATAAAAGAGCTTTAACTCAAATATTCAGTTACGTCGATTTCAAATTCTGTCTAAAATAGTCTGCTTGCAATCTGTATTTCCTAACCATGGAAAAAAATTCCTTTCCTTAAGTATCTCCCTGTGAAACTCAGAGTAGGATATGGCCTAGTGTCTTGCTAAGAAAAAACAAAAGCCATAAAAGTTTTAAATGAATAGATGATAGATTCCACTTCCACATTTTTTATTAAATGTGTTCCTCTGGGCTGAAGGGCAGAAGGAGTACATGGTATTCATGGAGTCACCTTAGCTTAGCAAGCAATAGAAGTACAAATACTTTTAGCTGTAATTATGAATTTTGCTGGCACATCACTAAATTAGCCAAGTGACAAAATTAGCTGGTTGTTTGGCTAAAGACCAAAAAGAATTAATCTGAGCCACTGATGTTACTATCCCTGGGCAGTGCAAGGCTTTTAACAAACCACAGAATCAGAAAGTGTAGAGCAGGAAAATGTAGCTTGCCACAAGCAGTTTGGTAGGCGTAGATCACTTATAAACCATCCAGCAGATGGGTAAAAAGTGCAAGCCATGAGGATGAGTAAACAGACCTGATCTTGCTTCCACTGTAAAAAACAAACACAAATTTTGTGGACCCTAAACCAAAAAAGTTTGTAAGGAGTCAAAATAAGAATATGAGTCTTTATAGGTCAAAGATCAGTTCTTTCATAAGGTAATGTTAACTTTTCATCTAAATAGAAATGCATAGTTGTGTACAGCCTTCTGAACGTGTGCAAAACAAAGCAGATCATTCTGTGCACCTCATGTATATATCATTTGAAGACAGACTTATAAAGACTGGTATGAATATCAAAACTTTAATCAGTATAGACCTAAATCTAAATCTAAGTCCTACCTTAGATGATGACTTCCACTGGTACATCAAATTTGTCATGCAAATGGCCCTTAGGGCTTTAATTTTCAGAACTAAAAGAACATATAAGTCTGCACAGTTTCCTTGAGGAGGCTTGGAAAGCTTTTACATCAAACAAACATGCCATTGACAGCTTTCAACCCAACAATATTAGTACTACTGATCTGAATAGGATAACTGCATTAAACTACTGAACTGAGAAAATCAAATAATGCAAAACTTAAAGTTAGTTGTATTTAGGAATTGAGAGAGAAATGGGATTAATGATAAAATGCTTTGTGCATAGCATCAGTAGGAGAGGGGATAGAATCGCAAAGGATAAAACAGCAGGATCTTTCTCTGACAGGAGATGGAAATACATGATAATTAGCACTAAATATTAATTTTATTTTTGTCCAGATATAAAACTAGAAAATCCACACCTCGAGTGCTGTGTCCAATTCTGGGCCCCTCATTTTAGGAAGGATATTGAGGTGCTGGAGCAGGTCCAGAGAAGAGAAACGAGGCTGGTGAAGGGACTGGAGCACAAGTGTTATGAGGAGAGGCTGAGGGAGCTGGGGCTGTTCAGCCTGGAGAAGAGGAGGCTCAGGGGAGACCTCATCACTCTCTACAACTCCCTGAAAGGAGGCTGTAGCCAGGTGGAGGTTGGTCTCTTCTCCCAGGCAGCTCTCAGTAAGACAAGAGGGCATGGTCTTCAGCTGTGCCAGGGGAGGTTTAGCTTAGATATTAGGAAGAAATTCTTTACAGAGAGAGTAATGAGGCATTGGAATGGGCTGGCCAGGGAAGTGGTGGATTCTCCATCCCTGGAGGTTTTCTAAGATGAGACTGTATGTGGCACTTAGTGCCATGGTCTAGTAACCAGGGCAGTGTTGGATCAAGAGTTGGACTTGATGGTCTCAAAGGTCCCTTCCAACCCAGCTGATTCTATGATTTATCTCGCAGTGTTGCTTCTTTTCCTCTTGTTAACTGCTACCATCATGATCAGGCCTTTAGAAAGGTGACAGTAGAAACAGTGACTTCCATGGGATGCCATTGATAACAACATTCACATGGCAGCAGCCAGATAGAAGTCAAACTTGGAACTGCTGGTACACAGCCATACATGTGTGCATTCAGAAATGAAGAACAGTAGAAATCATAATAAGTAAATATGAATAATTTAACAACTGGGGTTTTTTTTCTGGAGAAAAAGAATAAAATGGACATTTAAACCTGCAGGAAAAAAGATAGTTATCTTTTCCCCTCAGCTGACTTTGAAGGTTTCTAGGACCAGACACCTCCTGGTGCAATGTAGAGCTGTCTCAGAGCTGCTTACTCTAATCAGGCCCTCCTCTCCTAAGTTCAAGAGTGCTCCCTGTGCCAGTGGTTGGCCAGGAGTAGGTGCCAAAAACTGCCAATGTGGCTTTCTAGCTGACAGATCTCAGCTGGTTCCTCAATCCAGCTTTGTAAATTGGCAGAACAATAAGGTTGACACCTGGCTAGTTAAAAAAAAAAAAAAAAGGCAGCAAAGTCAAAATTGATCCTTACTCCTTTCTGTGATGACTTGCACGTGTGCTGACGCTCTCTGCCCGAGATTTTCCAGGACTGTGACGCATCCCTGTGCTTCTGCCTGGCCTCTGTGGGGCATCACTGCACCCCACGAACTCCTTGCTCCCTGACTGCACCCCCTGATGGTGCAGCGGCACCGAGGGGGATCAGTCAGACATGGCCAGGCTGCGCAGGGGCTGTGGAGAGGAACGTGGGTGGTGCAGTGTTTTAGCACAGAGCAGTCTGACAGCCGGCTGCGCGGTGCGCTGGGGATGCTCCTCAAATGCCTGGCAGGCGGGAGGGGGCCGGCGGGAAGCGGGAGAGGTGAAGTGGGTAACTCGCTCTCTGCGGGCGAGACGCGGCTCACCGCGGAGAGGAGAGACCACCACACACCGCTCCCGCCGATTCTCCTCCCGGAGGGTGTTTTGGATGCGAACCGCAGGGAGTTGCTTGCAGGTTGTGTACCTTGTTCTGCCTGTCTGTGTCGTCTTCCTCGTGTCACAGCGCCTCGAAGCGTGAGCCACCACCAGAGTGGTCTATGCCAGTACCCATGGGAAGGGCTCTGTGCTCGCTTCAGCCGCTTCGTTACCTTGCCAAAACAATTAGC